GCATGCCACCCACCCGACCAGTCAGCCAACAAACAAACAAACAAACAAACACAAACGAATAATCAAACCCACCCAAAAGAAAACACTACCGCAACACCACAAAAACCAATTACACACAGACATCATGTCTACAAACACACTTTAGCCTGAAATAAATAAACCGCCAATCATCCATTAGTCTACCACTTCACAGCCACACTCGCCAGCACAATCACTCAAACATAACCATCCAGATAGTCACAAGAAAATCCAACACCACAACACACTCAACCACTCACTCACAACAACAATACATGTCTCCTACCACAAAACACAACACACACACACACACACAATCCACTGTCAACTATCATCACCAATCATACACCATTCACACACCACACTCAGAAAAACACAACACAACACAACACAACATAATCTGTATCTACGGCCGTGCAGATAAACTACTCCCCCACAGAGGATAACACACATGCACAGACCAATATCCATTTAGCAAGACGATTAGTATTCCATGGAACAACAACCAGGAATGTGGAGATCTTGCCCAACAATGAAGACAACACCCATCCGTTCACAGACGCCGCGCGTCGCACATCCACACAACATCTGCCGACCTATGCCAATGTTGACGGCAGTTAACTGCCCAGTAGTTATCACGAAATGTTTCGGCGAAAGATCAGCAATTGTTAGGACATATTGTAATTTCTGAAGCAGGATAGGGGTTAGTGTTTATTTTGCGGCACGTTGGTAATACACAGTGAGACCCGGTACCCTTCAGAATCTCTCATGAGCAAGACATTTACAATCTTTTATATTTAACTGAGTATTGATGACGCACATGATCTTAGCTCAGAGAGCCCAGAAGGTTGGCTACTAACCCCCATGATATTCCTGATTGTGGTCGACTGGACTGGATCATGCAGCAAACAGTGGGGAGCGAGAAGAGGGGATACACTGGACTACGGAAAAGAACCTAGAAGACTTGGATTTCGCCAACGATGACTTGTGCCTGATGTCACATAAACTTGAAGATCTACAGGCGAAAACTAACAAGTTGACAGAAGAGGCAGGACTACGAAGATGAGACTTCAGGTGAATATAGAGAAGACAGAGGTGATGAAGATACCGCACCACCACCATCAACAACAACAACAACAACAACAAACTTCAGTCACCATCAACGGGAGAAACTTAAAGGAAGTAACCTCCATCACCTATCTAGGAAGCACTGTTTCAACTACAGGCAGCACAGGCACAGACGAGGATGTCAAAGTCAGAATCGGAAAAGCAAGATAGGCCTTCATTAGCCTGAAACCAGTGTGGAGATCTGCACTCAGCACGCGGAGCAAGATACGGATTTTCAACACCAACGTAAAGTCAGTGCTTCTGTATGGCTCAGAGACTTGGCGCGTCACGAAAGGCATTTGCAATAAACTACAGACATTCATCAACAACTGTTTACGCTCGCTACTGAAGATCAGATGGCCAGAATAGTTAGAATAAGCAACAAGGAGCTCTGGGAACGAACCAACCAAGAACCTATCAAGCAATAAATATGCAGGAGGAAGTGGAGATGGATTGGGCATGCACTGAGAAGGCCGACTGGGGACATCACGCGTCAGGCCAGTCACTCGAGTGGAATCCCCATGGGAAGCGACGAGTTGGACGTCCGAGGGTGACATGGAGGAGGTCGTGCGAGGAAGAAATGAGAGGTTGTGGGCTGTCGTGGAGCCAGGTTCAAAAGATCTCAGAGACCAGAGGTCACTGGAGACGTGCTACCGAAGCCCTATGTTCCACTAGGAACCCAAGGGACTAATAATAATAATAATGATTGATGACGCGCTATTTTTATGGAATTCGGCCGCTGATCCCATATACATTACAGTAGATCAATCTGAATTTCTTGGTATTTATTTTGCTGTTTCTCGTTGGAAATTTCCTTACTGAATTTAAATTCAATGAAGTGGTATTAATTAACGTCCTGTGGTTTATTTGGTTATACTTTCCCAGTTGGTAATCGATTGAGTTGAGAATTCTTTCGAGATTAGTCTTTTGAGTACGTATGGACGAGGTGTATTGTAGTTTTGGATGGATACTGTCGCTGTCGACGGATACCTTATCTGAAAGAGTTATCGTCCTCTTAAGCTGTTAGGGCTCAGTGGTCAGCTTGGCACGTTAGAAGTGGAATGACATCCTTCAAATGAATACGAAGTGATTACAACTCATCGGAACACAAGTTGGATGATTAAGTGAATTTAGTACTTTAATTTTTGAGTTTGACTATTAAAAATAAGCTTACAATAAAATAACTGTACAACTTCAAAACAAGGAATAATAAAGGAAGTAAATATCGATTAACATGAGAACCTTTGGGTATTTTTGTTCATCTGTGTCTATTGAATCATGTTCGGTACAGTATTGGAATTACGGGATAAATTTAATAAATATTATAACAAGTTTAGTGCTGTATTTACGCACACTATGAATAGTACTTTGGCATCTAAAATGTACTATACTTATCAACGATCGAAGATGCAACGTCTGCTTCACAAGTTAAAGAGGAAGTAGATGGTGTACAATTTGAAGCGATGCTTCCACTTTCCGCCACAAACAAGTCTAACACGACATTTATTTGAGAAACAGTTTCACAAATAACTGTTGGTGAACACTGACCTTCAAGCTTTTTCAATTTTTCGATTGCGATGGCTACTGCGCTCCTCATATTATCTTGTTTGTTTGTTTCTGCTACAGTTGACAGTGACTGAAGGTTATGAGATCTGAGCCATCACCGATATCTACAGGCTGTACCTTGTGTCGAAATAATTTGTAATAACACGACTTACCTGTATGCAGTCCCACAGAAAAATGAACTTTCACAAGATGCCTGCAAGGTAACAACTCCAAGGAATTCGGCGGACAAGTACATACTGCCTCATTTCTATCAACGTGATAGGAATTCCCTTCGTCCGTACAGACTACAGAATCTGTTTTCACTTCCTCAATAATAACATCGCTTTCACGCACAACGTCATCGTATGTCTTTTCAGAAGCATAATCAGTGAGTTGGTTCAGAAAATCCTGCAACATATTATCTGCATTAAACCTTCTGTACTTCAGTAAACGAAAGCCGGTTTCGCGTGCCAGAGTCACAATTTCTTTTAGATGTTGTATGCAAAGCTAGCAGACAGTCTTCTAAGGAGTCATGTTCTTTGAGTGCGTCCCGTACACGGTGGTGTACATCTTTGACTGCACCGTTTATTTTTGTACCTGATGTAACAACGTCTTGTAAAAACGCCGGTACCCACATTTCTTTCATCGGTACCCAATCCTGAGTGATATAATAGTAGACTGTAGTATCCAATTTCTTCATCCTTTGCAAATCATGCCTGAATCTGGAAGGAGTTATATAATATCATCCACTTACTTGTTCGGGCAAAATGTAGATGTCATCTTACCAAATATATTGTTTGCAATAGCGCTTTTAAACTACTTTAGTATTTTAGAGTAGGACCTTAAGGTACCTTTCGTTTAAAGACTTTTCTAACAAACGATGAACTCAATACCATTCTAGCAGTGGGAAATGCATGTTGCACTAACTGAGGCTCCGAGATCGCACAGTCTATTGTTACGGTTAATGTATGGTCAATGTTGTTAAAAACTTCTCTGAAATGTTTTAACAAAACACTCAGATCTTCTGTTTGCTCTGCAGTATGCAATGAAAACATAATTGGTCTTGAACGAAGAATACCATCAGTCACCGAAACTTGAAAAACAGTGAACCTTACAAGTAAAAACAAATAAATTGTACCCACCCAACGAAACTAACGTTATAGGTGGCGCTAAAACTATCAACCTATGGGAACCTCTTGTACAACTCGATTTGCTCCCGACTGGATATGGATATCTGAATATTCTCTCCATTGTTGTGCTCGACTAGTGCCACTGAATTTTTACTTATTTCATCCAAAACATTAGAAAGCTTTTTAGAACATTAGTAATAAAGTAGTGAATAATGACAAACCAGGAAAGACCTGATCACGAAGTGTCTTGATATCCCAAGAAGTTAACGGTTTGCTTAGTTGAGTGTGTGCAATACGCAGTATATCCTTCATTTTACAACCACATGCTGAAAAATCATTCAGGAGTTTCTCGTCGTGCTCATTCAAAAAAAGCATGGAAGCGCTTGCGCTCATTTTCGAATTGTTGCCGTGACCACAAAACTTCGTGTTGTAGAATTAGTGGACGGCAGTTCCTTGGGTTCTACCTCTGTCTTATTGGAATACGTTCTGAGTTTGAAATGTTCACAATTATCTTCCCGGTTCTGAAAAACCTGAAAGGATAGAGATACGATTACTAATTAATCAGGTCTCAAGGTAGTATTGTAGCATTTTATTTCACTGTATTGTGTTGATATATGTAACAACTCATTGAACATTTCTTGCTTAGTTGTACTGAAAAGGACTTTTTGCTCGCTCGTTGACCAATACAACATCCTGATATATACTTCACGTTAACTCCTGATATTTACGCTGTTTGGCACAGGTGGATCAGCAGTGTCGGGAATTATAAATAGGCGATAGTGTGTCCGGACACGTATATAAAATTTGGAGTCAGATTTCAGAGCTCAACAAACTGGTGAGCATTACGTGATTAAACTCTCGCAAGTTTCATGAGTGGATATTATTGTTGTTTTCAGTTGAATACTGCAACCAGTCATTAATAACTGTATACAATACGGATATACATGTATACTGAGAATTTTTCTAGCTGCTTTGTGGTGGGCATTGACATACTTGTTCATTGTATTTTTCCCACTCTTGTTCTTAAATATTTTTTTTGATGTACCAGTACTGATGCCCTTAAACTGTCATTATCAAGACTTTTCGAACTTAGGGTCGGTGGGTGCCATTAATCTTCCTATGCCTTGTTTTAAGTTTAATGACCCGCAATTGTGGTTTGTCCGTCTAGAATATTTCTTCATGGCCAATCATATAACTTCACAAAATAAAAAGTTCGGATATACAAGCTCTGTTTTGCCGGAAGAAGCGGCTGAACAAGTAAGGGAGACATTATCAAAGCCCCACCCAGACACACCTTAAGATGTTTTGGAGCAGGAGGTGCTGAAAGCTACTTCGTTATCTGACCGGAAGGCTGTCGATCAACTACTAAGTAGCATATGCCCCGGTGACAGGCCACCTTCACAACTTAAGCGACATATGCAAAGTCTGCTGAAAGATGGGAACGTAGAAAACTGTTAATTCAACCAGCTCTGGCTGCGGAGACTTCCTTCATGCATTCAGCAGATATTAGCTGTCGGAGATGCGGATACTGGCAGGTTGGCTGACATCGCTGAACGTATGTAGGAAAGGATGCCTAAACAGGTTGAAAGTATTGCTGAGCGGACGCAAAACGACCGAGTGTCCGCTTTAGAGAGGAAGATCAACATACTTACAGGACAATTGACGGCTTTTCGGTTAAACCGACGGTCACCAAAGTTCTGTAGAAGCAGATCCCGTAGTCGTGATAGGACCACGAGCAGAATTGCATCTAAAAGTAGCACGTGCTGGTATCACAAGAAGTTTGGCGGTAAAGCATGTCGTTGTTTGTTACTATGCGATTTTGAAACCTTTTTGTTGGGAAACGGAAAAGCCGGCGATCAGTGACGGCTGCTGTCGCCTTCGTACGACAACACAGTCGTTTGTTCCAGGTGACGTATAGGAAGACTGGAGCTCAGTTTCTGGTTGACACTGGAGCGGAAGTGAGCGTGGTCCCACCCATACCTTCCCAAAAACATCATCCTGACCCGACCTTGGTACTACAAGTGGCAAACAGATCTGCTGTCACCACATATGAAACCAGAATTTGATCCTGGACATTGGTTTTCATGTACCATTCCACGTGGAAATTTATCATCGCCGACATATCGTTGCCTGTCATTGGCATGGATTTCCTGCAGCACTACGAACTATTGGTTGACTCTAGTCGCCATAGACTAGTTAGCCCTAATAGTGAATTTTATATCATGGCTATCGTTACGGAGACGAAAACAATAAGCCTCGTCGTAGCTCCAATAGACAGCACTTCCAAGTACCTTATCCTTCTGCGAGAATTTCCCGAGCTCACTCCAACGGATTACACGAAGTCCTCTCCGAAACACACGGTGACGCGCCATATTCTTACGAAGGGTCCTCCAGTCTCGTCAAAACCTTGACTCCTAGACCCTAAGAAGCTGCAGATAGCAAAGTAGGAATTTGATTAGCTTCTAAAGTTGGGAGTTGTACGCTCTTCCAAGAGCCCATGGTCATCACCCCTGCATATGGTACCTAAACACATCAGGGGAAATATGGCTTTGTGGTGATTATCGAGCGTTGAATAAGCGTACGGTCCCTGGTTAGTATCCAATTCCTCACGTACATAATTTTATGAGCTCTATGATAAAGGTAAATGGTTTTTCCAACATTGATCTCGTGCGAGCTTACTACCACATTCCCGTGGAACCCAATGATGTTCCTAAGACGGCCATCGCTACCCACTTCGGACGATACGAATTTATTTGTATGCCGCTTGGTTTGACAGATGCTGCTCAAACATTCCAAAGATCTATAGATCAAGTACTTCATGGCTTACCCTTCGCCAGTGTATAGATAGATGACTTAATAGTAGCTAGCGCGTCTGAAACAGAACTCCTGCACCATCTGAGGAAGCTTTTCGAATGACCGGGAGTATCGTACTACAATCAGTCTGCAGAAGTGCGAATTTGGCAAAGAATCCCTGCAGTTTTTGGGTCACATTGTGGATGCCAATGGTGTTAGACCGGCTCCTCAAGAAGTAGATGCAATTCGAGAATATCCTGTTCCAGACTGGTTTCGAAAGTTGCGAAGGTTTCTGGGGTTAATTAACTTCTGTCGGCGTTCCATACCTAAATGTGCTGAAGTAGCCCAACCGCTGACAGATTTATTGCAAGGACGAGCCAAAGTGTTTCACATGACCCAAGCGGCCCATGATGCTTTTGGCAAACTGAAGCCGGCTCTAAGTTCTGGAACTCTTCTCTCGTCGTGATTCAGAATCACCACTAGTAACCATGGCAGATGCTTCAAATGTTGTGGTAGGCGCAGTACTACAACAGTTTGTTCACAGTCAGTGGGAACCATTATCTTTCTTCTCGAAACGCCTTAATGCTTCTCAATTCCGAAACAGTACATTTGGAAGAGAGTGGTTGGCGATTTACTTAGGTATCAAGCATTTCAGACATATGCTCGAAGGGTAGGCATTTATAGTTTTTCAAGTTGTTATTCATCATAGACTGACATCAGCTGGAAGAACAAAGGGAACCTGGGAGCACTGGACAGCTGTTCCTCCAACTGACGTCAGTCTACGATGAACAACAACTTAAAATATTTCCAAATCCACACGACTCCCTCAAAATTTGTAGTATTTACCGACCATAAGCCATTCACAAAAGCAACTGACGCAAAGCATGACAACCGCTCGCCGTGAGAAACTCGGCATTTAGAATTTTTTCACGATTCGCTTCAGATCGAAGGTATGTCAAAGGCAAGAAAAATTAGGCAGCTGATGCTTTTTCTCATATGTACTTAAAAGTCTTAGAACGTGACCATACTGACGTAGCAGAAATGGTCAAGTCGCAGGCGACGGGTGAGGACTTAAAACACTTGGAAGGCAATGTAAGCACCTCATTACGTCTTGAAGAAGTGGTGCTTGAAGACTGTTTCCATCACCTGTGATGTACCCAGGAGTAAACCACGTCCGTTGGTGCCTTTGTCAATGAAGCGATTAGTCTTCTCTAAGACACATGGCATTTCACATCCTGGTGTTCGGGCTACGGTAAGTTAATTACTGGCCGACACGTCTGGCCACAGCTGAGTCAGGATCTTCGACATTGGTCCATAGCTTGTTTAGCGTGCCAGCGATCGAAAATGCAAAGACATATTCTTTCACCTACGGAAGATTTCCCGCACCGAATGGCAGATTTGACCATATACACGTTGACATCGTTGGACCACTACCTCGTCAAATGGTTTTAGCTACATTTTAACATGTGTAGACCGATTCACGAGATGGCCAGTGGCAATACCTCTGCAGGATATATCTGCCGAAACAGTAGCGAGAAATATCATCCAACACTGGATTTCTAACTTTGGTGTCCCAAGTGTCATCACCACAGATAGAGGTGCGCAGTTCGAGAGTAGTCTATTTCAACAGTTAACTGAACTTCTCGGGATCAAGCGCATAAGAACCACTGCGTACCATCCTGCATCCAATGGTATTGTCGAAAGGTTCCATCGACAACTAAAAGCAGCACTGATGGCAGTAAAGACTGATGACAAGTGGAGTGACAAATTACCACTAGTACTCCTTGGTATACGTTCGAGTGTCAAGCAGGACATTGGCTGCTGTACTGCTGAGTTAGTTTATGGAACTACTTTAAGATTGCCAGGAGAGTATTTTAACCCGGCAACAGACGTTCCACCGGACTTGACTAACTATGTACAACAACTACGGCGACACATGAGCACACTTCGACCTCAGTCCCCACGATACCGAGACAACCAAGTTTACGTACCTCAGTGCATCTCAAACTGCACTCACGTTTTCGTCCGACACGACGGCGTACGAAAACCCTTACAGCCCCCGTATGAAGGACCTTTCAAGGTAATTAGTAAATCAGACAAAGTTGTCACGGTCGAACGCTCGGGTAGACGAGAAACGGTCAGCATTGATAGAATCAAACCAGCGTTTATGGAACCAGATGTCACGGATACCAAGTCTGAACCCGCAGTGAAGCAACCGGAAACACCGAAAACCACCGTCAAAACAGAAACAACGGCATCGGAATCACCCAATGGTAGCGACGGTAGCAGAACCACGAGATCCGGAAGAAGAGTCCGTTGGCCACGACG